GAGGAGAGGAGAGGAGAGGAGAGGAGAGGAGAGGAGAGGAGAGGAGAGGAGAGGAGAGGAGAAAAATTACTAGGGCTTCAGATTCCACAATTTCTATATCCCAAAAATGGCAATCATGTGAAAGCTAGACTGTATCTTTGATTATGAAATGTGATGGCAAAGTTTTGGTTTTACTTCTCTATAAAGTTTTGTGAATCCTTTGAGTATCCTACTGCTCTTGCTAGAAAATGCAATTTCCAGATATAAACTTGACAATCAGATCTTACACTTTCACTAAGCTTTACAGCCAGAGGACAGGTATATCCAGCAGCCAACTGGGAAACATTTTTAAGTCATTGCAAAATAAGCAATGTCATCTCAGCAGAGCTGTGAGTCAGTGAATAAAAGCAGAATTTGACTTACAGTTCCCAGTGTAGAATATTGCTTATTTCACTGGCTTTTATAAACCTCATTTACAGCAACCATGTTTTACAGATTGAAGAATTAGAGTTTGACTGAGGTGGCTGCTTCCAGCAGCAAGAGCTGTCTGGATATCTGCACGGAGTCCAATTTAGCCTGTCACCACATGTACCTTGTCACTATGAAATCTGTCCATACTGACCATGTGTACCTGAGCCCATTCTTTTCCTGACATGTAATTTGCTGCACACATGTATGTATGGGATGTAGCATAGTGCAGAAGTGCCCAGATTCATAATTATCAGATTAGAGGAAATGTTCTCCCCATGTGTGCACCAAGTCTTTCAGGTGGACATGCCACCCCTGCTGATTCAGGAGAGATGTTTCCCTTAGATCCCACGTCTGCTCATCTTGTTCACACTTAGAGAGAACAGGAAAAACAGTCTCATCTCAGTCAACCTTAAATCAGCGTAGACTCTGGCTGGGCTAGATGGGGATGTTGAGAGCACAAGGCAGATTTCATTTTTTATGCGGGAAACACATTTTTTCCATAGCACGTAGAAACACAAGGAACTTGTTTCCTCTGCTTACACACCTCAGATATCTTTGGAGATCTCTGATATCCACAGGGGCTGTCAGATAAAGCAAAGAAGAAGCCAAAATGTAACATCTTAAATGGTACCAGGCATTTATGCTTAACGTGGTTGATCAAGCCCAACATGTCAGTACTGAGCTCTCATTTCCAAGAAAAGAAAAGGATTTTAAGAAGGCTTCAGAGTCATCATGTACATAGGAGAAGACCATGCAGTTCCTTCAGCCTTAAAAAAAGAGAACTAATTTTCTTGTTTTCCTGATATAATTGAAACAAACTCTAGAGGCTTTAGTAGCAGACACTCACAGTTGTCGTATCAATGGTTTAGTTAATTTGCCTGTAAGGCCAACTCTGTGTACAAGGTAATTCAGCATTTTGGCAAATTAAGAATCTGATGCTTCATTCTAATCGTAGAACAAATAGATCTGTTGGCTTTTATTAAATTACAGTTTTGACGGTAATGGTGTCCGAAGCCTTTAAGCCAAGGACTATAAAAAGCTCACCTGAGGGCAATGCATGATTTTATTTTGAAACTCCCCACCAAATCTCATTCATTTATCTTTCACAGTCAAGTAAGACCTAAAATATTTTAAAGGGACATGTTTAAGAAATCCTTAAAAAGAAACACTACTAGTTACCGGGAATGTTTTTGTTGAAAGCATTCACAAAACCCCTTCCTGTAAATATGACATTCTTCAGATATTTAAAGGGAGGGATTAAAATATTTAATTGAATTATAAAGTGTTTGCAGAGGATTACAGAGTTTCCCTGCCTAAGACATGAAGGTTGTAAATCTTTGCATGATTCTTTAAGCTGTCCAAGTTTTGGTGTGGCAAGGCATATGTTCAATTCAAAGTCTAATAAATATTGCTGGGTTTTTTTTAGTTTCCATAGTCTATAAATGTCTCTTTCATCCTTTTGTTTGACAGCTACTCTTTCATTTTCCTGTTTGCATGCTCTAACAGATCTAAATGAAAGGCAAGATTTGGTGCTCCATCCCATCTTTGATGTAGTGCCCAACGAAGAAAGGACCACCGTGGCTCTTCCTAGGGGAAAACATGAGAAAAAAACTGAAGCTAGATGGATGATGAGAGATAGGGACAGACCAAGAAACTTCCCTGCTTCTTATTAGCCATTTTGTTGGTCATGGAAAAGATATATCAGATCCCAGAAATCAGGGTTGGAGCAGCCAGCCAGACCAAATCTCCAAGGAATGGAGGAATTGGTGTGGAATACCGCCATGAAAGACATTTTTAGATGGCAATCCAAATCCTGGTGGACGGATTATCCAGTAGATCAACTGGGTGGTTGCAGCGCCAGCCTGCAGGTCTGCCAAGGCAGTCCTAGGATGCAGAGAGAGCAAACCCATCTGTGGGTATCACTGTGCTCTTAATTTAATAATAAGCATTTTTATTTAACAGCAAACTGTTAAAAGTAAATAGTTGTGAATCCATGATTGCTCCCAGCATGTCTTTCATGATAAATACTTACTAGGGTGTAAATATTGATGCTTCCCATGTGGTGTGAACACCCCAGCTCGCTGGTGGATGCATGGGAACCTGCGCCCGAACGTGCCATTGAGTGCTTTGGCTGGAGGTGCAGCCCTTGCCTGGGAGGTTGGTGCTGGAGCCAGCCTGTCGTCCCTCGCCTCCCTGCGCCGGTTGGTGAGTGACTGCCTCCTCTTCCTCTTGCCGCAGGTAGGGAGTCGAATGGTGATCATTGCCGGTGCCTGTGCCATGCTCCTCAGTGGCATCTTCGGGAAAATTGGAGCGATACTTGCCAGCATACCCACCCCTGTGATCGGAGGCATGTTCTTTGTGATGTTCGGAGTTATCACGGCAGTGGGGATTTCCAATTTGCAGGTAACAGCAGTACGAGTGCCATCTCATCCCTGGGGAAGGGGACTTTAGCTCCAAGTCAGGTTCTTACCAGGCTGAGTCAGACACAACCATGCTGCAGCAAACACAAACCTTTGCGTTGGCAGTTCCACAGGTGAAGATGAGGGGATGTAACCAGAGGGGCTAGATCTCAGAAGGCTCCCTGGTTGGAGCAGGGCTTGCTGGCACCAGGGGCAGCAGGATCACTGAAGCCCCAGCAGCACCAGTGCTGCCTGGGTCCACTCCTGAATGCAGCGTTCACATCTGAGCATATCTCACTGACACAACAGTAATCCACAGCTTTGGGTAGTCGCAAACATAATGTATGCAATTTCTCTATGCAGTACACAGATATGAACTCCTCCAGAAACATCTTTATCTTCGGATTTTCTGTGTTTGCTGGCCTCACCATTCCCAACTGGGCAAGCAAAAACAGTACGCTGCTGGAAACAGGTAAGAAGTGAGCAACATCAGACACATTTTCTGAAGCAAAGGCTGATTCAGAGAAATCTTTTAAAATGCATTTTTTCCTGATAAACCCCTGAAACCTGTGCTTTGACTGTTGACTCTTTTGTTCTGGGAAGGCTGTTCTTGCCATTTGCTCTGATGCCTAGCTCTGGTGCGGAAATCTCTGCTCTTGATCAGTGACTGCACCTTACTAGATTAAACTGCAGAGCTCTTCTCTGGGATGGGGATGGAGTTCCAGGGATGGGGCAAGAGAGCACTCTAGGGCTGAGTTTTGATCAAGATCTCAATGAATGAGGCTTTCTTGCGTGTTCACACACAATAAATAAAGTTTTGTGCTTCCAAAATGCAAGAGCGGACTCCTCTATTAAATTCCATCAAGTTCACTTTATTGAAATTTCCTGTCCTCCACCATTTACCCTTTCATTGTGTCTTGTGTGATGAATGTGTTCATCACAAAGGCTATAGTGTCCTTTCTTAAGGTATATATGGCCTGCTGGGTGAGCTGCTGAAAGAGCGGGGCCCAAAGATCACACACATATGAATCGCACGCTCTATAGACAGTCTGTCTGATGCTCAGTGCCACTGGGCTTTGCTCATGTCTATTAGCTCTCACAGAGAAACTTGTGGTGGAATCCCATGCTAAATATACCTGTATTTCTTTGGGAACCGAAGCTTCTGCTTTTTTGGGGAACTGCTTGATGTTATGTCATGGAGGTACAGAGAGGAAATGGCCTCAGGTTGCACCAGGGGAGGTTTAGATTGGATATTAGGAAAAAAAATTCCACTGAAAGGGTTGTCAGGCAGTGGAACAGGCTGCCAAGGGAAGTGGTTGAGTCACCATCCCTGGAGGTATTTAAAAGATGTGGTGCTTAGGGACATGGTTTAGTGGTGGGCCTGGCATTGCTAGATTAACAGTTGGACTTGATGATCTTAAAGGTTTTTTCCAACCTAAATGATTCTCTAATTCTGCAAGGCATTTGGAACAGAAGGCAGCTTTTTCTGGGATAGTGCTTTGTTAATAGGCTCTTAATATATTTATGAGTCATCTTCTGCCCACTGGCAGCTGGGCCAGTGAATAATTATGTAGAATAAAACTGCAGGTCTGGAACTGGCAGTGAGATCAATCTCCCCTGCATTGCCAAATCTTAAGCTCTTGGGATTTGCACATCTTGTCTAAACAAGCATGCAGCTTGCAGCCTCTTGGCACTGCCCGTGTTGCTGGTCAAACGTGTATCTCTCTGCACCACTATCCAAAGCTTGTTTTTTTTGCTAGGAATCATCCAGCTGGACCAGGTGATCCAGGTGCTTCTCACCACTGGCATGTTTGTGGGTGGACTCCTGGGGTTTTTCCTTGATAACACCATTCCAGGTAGGATTTGCTGAAATGAGCTAAGCTACTAGTTTGTGCCTGCACTAGGTTTTGTTTCCTAGTATTTTTGTCTTCATGACTACTGCTTTATGGGTTGGACTTGTGCTAGCAACCATGAAACATGGTGTGACTGAACTCCTCCCAGAGAGGGATGAGGAACAGGAGACATCACTGAAACGGTCTCTGGTTGGAAAACAGCAGCTGATCAAAAAACTCACTCATTTTTCAGGAACGACCCAGTCTGAGGAAAAGGTTTATTTCAGAAAACTGTCGTTTAGGGAAAATGCCAACCTAGAGACATGCTGCTGGCTGATAGGAGAGAGAAAGGCAACTAGAGCAAGAGGAAGGAGCCAATGCATGTATCATTATGAGGGGTGCTAGAACTGAGGCTGGACCAGTGCCACAGCAGTGGAAAGCAGTAGGAAAGGGTGGTGATCAAAGACAGGATCTAGCACCTGGTGCTCACAGGCAGCAAAGAGCTGTCTCTGATTCTCACTGAGCCTGGAGGGACAGCAGCCTAAGAATAGGAAGGGAAACCTTCTTTATTTTTACAGAAAAAGAGCAGGAAGGACACTCTGTTAACCAGATTCTTTTACTGTCTCAGGCTTCTTGGGAAGCCAGTCTCCTTTGTTAATTTTCCTTCATTAATTTTCTTGTAGCAACGATCTCATTTTTGCTGTTGCAGGAACACAGGAGGAGCGAGGGCTCCTGGCATGGAAGAACAGCCACAAGGGAGAGTCGGACAACTCTCAGCTCATTTCCAAGGTCTATGATCTTCCATTTGGCATAGGCACCAAATACTGCGCTTTCTCTTGGTTTCGGTATCTCCCTGCTTGCCCCAAAAGACTCCCCAGTGGCAAGAAAATGGATGAACTGAAGGCTGCTGGGCACACAAGCAGTGTCAAAGCAAGCTCAGAAAGAGACTGTGAGATCGGTGCTGATACAAGGATCTAAGCACCTGGCCTGCAGGTGAACTCATCACAGAAGCAGAGATCTGGAAAGCGTGTCTGCAGCCCCCATCATTTGAACATGAGCTGGCAGCTGTTAGAGGCTGGAGCAGCAGAATGATAATGTCTTCCCAGCTCTGACCCCTGCACCACTGGTGACCTTGAGGGAGTCATTTTCCTCTTCCCTGCTCCTGCCTGTCCATCTCTAGGAAGAACATAATCCATCTTTGGTGAACACCAAAGCCCAAGAAATGCCTGGGAAAGATGTTCAGTTTCCTTCCTTGTACTAAGCCTTGGGGACCCCAAGGAGTAGCTGAAGGAGAGCTCTTCCTGTCCCCATCCTGGTTGCTCAAGGGGCCACAGGAGAAGGCATCCCTGCTGTGGGCCCTGTACCACCCTCTGGCATCCCTTGGGCTGAGGCTAATCCCCACAGCCTTAAAGATTTGTTAATGGCAACACTCAGTTCTCAGCTTGTAGTTTACACCTCATTCTGGCCAAGGGGAAGGAGCAGGCATCTCATTCTATATTCCCATAATTTAAAATCAGTTATATGTATGTATCAGAATGTTGTTGTAAGAGAGGTGTCTAAAGTTAATGGGATGAATTGTCTTCTGAACATGCCTCTCCCACCTCAGACCACAGGAGGAATCTAGAGACCTTATTTAGGTTCTTGACTTAATGGAAAAACCAGCTTCATTTAAATGAATCTCACTTGGGGTGCTGGAAGCAGTTTTGAGGGACCCAGCTTCCCTAGGGCACCAAACCCTAGAAAGATGAAGGAATCATCATCAAAGATGAAGCAAAAAACTCTTCTGCCCACAATCTGATGCATCTCTGATGCTTCTATGGCCTGTGTCCCCCTCCACTGCACCTGTTTGGTCTGGTGCAGTGATTGTGTGGTGACAATCACTTCTTCAGAAAATGGTTTGCAGATTCTTGTCCCTTTCCATTATCAGCAGAAAGAGCCTTAACCTACATGGCCACATATAATGTGATTGCACATGGTGCTGGTTGCTGGTGGTGTGTAATAACATTGTTGCTGTAGCATAAGCTTGTGTCTCCTGCATTGAGATTTATACTTAGATTTTTTTTTTGAAAATTAATAAAAAGTACAGCGTAATGATATGCCATAGTGAGTGGCAGGTAGTATGTGAAGAACCACAGACAAATTCAGTTGGAAGGGACCTCTGGAGGTCGTCTGGGCCAGCCCCTGCTCAAATCTGGTCCTGTTAGAGCAGGTTGCAGAAGACTGTGTCCAGCTGAGCTACAGACGGAGAGCCCTAGCCTATTTGGGCAGCCTGTTCCAGTGTCTGACCACCCTCATGGTGAACATCCTTTTCCCTTGTACCTACATGATATTCCTGAAGCTTCACCCTGCATCTGTTGCCTCTTGTGTCACTGTCCCGTTTTGAGAAAAGTCTGAACTCATGTTCTCTGTAGCCTCCATCGGACAGCTGAAAGCTGCAATATGATCATAGAATCATAGAACGGCCTAGGTTG